GTGGCCATCAGGAAGGGCCTACAGGGCAGGACACTCGGGAGCACAGACAGGGACACCTCGGGTGGAGCAGACAGGAGGCTCAGCCGCCGGTCACTAAAACCCTGCAGGCCCTCATGCCCCTCCTTCTACTCACGGTGGAGCCACTGCGGGGGCGCCAGGGGCCGAGAGCGGAACTGCTCAGTGGCCGCTGCCCAAGGGCTGCCCGTGTGGCAGGCCTGCCGGATCAGAGCTGCTGGGCCTCCCTCCCTCCTTCTCCTATCCTGGATTGACTGCCGGTCCCTCTGATCATAACTGTGTGCCCTGCCCGCCCGCCCCCGTGTGACCTGTGGCTGTCTGCGTAGACCTGTCACAGCCTGAGGTCGCCCAGCCTCCTGCCAACTCACCTTTCTCAATAGGCTTGCGTGGCTCAGGTAGGTCACAGAAGCGTGAGCCTATGGGGATGGTCCACCCGGAAGACCTGCCAAGGCCCGTGTGGCAGGACTTCTTGCCTCGGAGTTCGTTCAGCTGGAAGCCACTGCCCTTCTTCACCAAGGCGACAGCATAATAGAAAGTCTGTGGGTCTGCAAAGGGACAGGGGACGGAAGACGCTCAGCCTGACACAGGGAACTGCTCATCGCGCCCGGTCTCGAGGGGGAAGGGGAACCCAGAGGCCACACTCACACGGAGTGTGGGGGGGGGGGGGGGGGAGTCAGGGAAACACTCCTAGGCTGGGGGGAGGACGGACCTCCAAAAGTGCATTTGCAATAGACCCCTCTAGGCGAGCGTGGGGCAGGGAGGCCACCAGCGCATCGCCCACGTCTCTGCCCACCTTGGCCCGGCAGCGTTACCTACAGCTGCCAACCCAAGCCCATCAGAAACTGGAGTTGTGGTAACAGAGGCCCACGGTCCCTGTTTCCTGCAGTGTCCCCTGCCCCTGGCTGCAGGGACTGTCAGGGTGATTTCAGACTTGTAGAGCTCTTGGGGTTCAAGTGTACTCCGCAGTGATCTTTCTGTGGGCATGACACTTGCGATTCCAGATGATTTCCAGGGACCCTGCACGTGCCACTAGACCCAAATGACCTCAGGTCGAGCTGCACACAGTATGGTTTCTCCAGCAAGCACGTCCCCGGCTGGAGGTCGGCGTCAGGAACTGCACACAGTATGGTTTCTCCAGCAAGCACGGTCCCGGCCGGAGGTCGGCGTCAGGAACTGCACACAGTATGCTGTTTCCCGGCAAGCACGTTCCCGGCCGGAGGTCGGCGTCAGGAACACCAGCCCTGAGTCAGCCCACAGCCCTCAGGGGCCTTCGCGTGTGCCTGTGGGGGCTGACAGGGCTCCTCTGTCCCCTCTCACTCCCCAAAGATGAGTGTCGCCAGCATCTAAGACTCAATACCCGCCTGCAGGAGAGAACAAGAGCCGCAAACCGCCCAGGCTCCCG